TAGACAGTTCTCTCGGGAGCCCTACTCTCCCTACAGAGAGTTATCGAAAACGAACGTTTTACACTCTATATCAAGTGAAATTTTCACCTAACACAGAGTGTTGTGCACTCGATTACTCCTTGACTGATATTTTTATCATATTAATAGATTGTGTTATACATTAATAGATTATGTTATACAAACATCTACATCTTTCAGTATGACTAATATAAACCTGGAACCTGAGCAACGGCCCTAACGAAAAGCAAGGAGTCTGCTCCACGTGAAGAAAGACCAATTGGTCGATTTATTTGTAAGATAAGAAGTGAATTCCGTGCGTGAACGACAAGTATATTCATCGCTGGAAACCTTTGATCACATTTTGAGTGGCCAACCTAGCAAAAGTTGTAAGAATCTTAACAGAATATTCTATTTCACATTTTGTTTTCAACACGCCGCTCATCAGCTACAGCTTTTATTTGAATACTGCTTGGGGAAAGTTCTCAATAATGATTCTATAGATTCACGGTCTCCTGACTTGAATTTTATTGCGAAGATATTAATTAAGGCGCATATTTTTGTCAGCTAAAATGCTTAGGCTTATTAAGAATTTGGACAAAAGGGTTGGATTAAAAAGCGGAAACTAAGGTCCTTTCCGTTAATTTTGGTAATTAAAATCATTTTTTTAATGACGACAAAGCAGAATTGGAGATGAGATGATTTGAGATATTCTGGAGAGGGCCAAAGTGAGCAATTCAATCGTCGTTCATTTGTTTAGGTGAGCAGGTGGCCGAACGCATCAATCACAAATTCACTTAGCGCTAAGCCTTACGTCGTGGCTCGTAGTTAGAGAATAGCTAATTGAACACACATAAATCATTATGGCTGCTAAAAACGTGTCAACTCTCAACAAAGGAAATTATCATCTGCTTATCAGTATTGAATAGCAGAATAAAGATATCTTCTTTCTCATTTCTTTCTCATCCATCCTAGCAACCACGCAGTGAAGTGGTTGACGTCTTTGGCTCAATTTGATCCATTATTTTTATCGTTGGTATTTTGAACGTAAGCATGAAGCTAAAGATTTAATATATAACAAATAATACAAAATTCACCAAGAAATAACCTAATAAAAGGTAAGGGTTAATCATTGAGGATATCTTGATGTGTTCACAAACTTGCAAGCTAGGTCATACATAGCGCAGTGATTAGATGCGCGCTTCAACACACATATGATCGCCGACTCAATCCGGCACTATAGAATGCTCAAGCCTTCCAATCCTCCGGGGCACTACATATAACGATAAGCCACTAAAAGTTGGTGCCTACCCAGATGTGCATTTATACGTGTCCAACGATGCCTGACGAAATTGAATACATGGTACGCCTCTCAGGAATTGATCAAAGCCGAAAGCTTTACACTTTTTCATTCATTAGCTAGCACAAAGCTTTTACAAAAATTCTGCCAAGCGATTCGATGTTATCACCTTTTTTACACATGCATTTCAAGATGATTCAAGTCGAACTGAATATAAAATCTTAAAAAAGTTGCTCCTTTCCGATGTATGCTACTTCGTAATCGTATCGATTCGAATCCAGAGATGTGAAGCGTCGCACAAATGAACTGCTCTCAATTCGTGGTGCCCTTTCATAAACAACGGTTGTTGATTGACTAATCGTTGAAGATAGTTTGTTTTCAAGAAAATGTTCCATTGTGCAGCAGTAAACCCCCTATGGTAGGTGTCATGAAGTGCTGTAATATTTTAGAGACGTTTTGATTAAACTCGGTATGGATAATCGACAACATAGCATAATTACAATATAACGATAGAGCATTCGCTTTGGTATAGCATGAAGATATTTTTGGGAACTGGATTAATAAGTTCTATTTAATTACTAGTATACATTCAATCAATGAAAGTCACTGTCGAGGAGCAAATCAAATCTCAGCAACTCTCATCCATCAAGATGTGAGCCCCTCTGATAGAAAAAAAAACTCAGCCAATTCGCTGCTCTACAAAAAAGCAGCTTTTTTTATGAACCTTTTTGCCACTTGTTCAGTAGAGGGGCCGAACAACACGAAGATATCTCGCCATAGCTGTTTACTTCTAGTGCACTCCAATGGATAATGAAGTCGCTCGATTCGGACAAGAAGAGTATACGCATCGATTGCAATTTCGATGGAATCTTCGTTGTGCTGACGATTCTTGTCCTCTTGAGGGACATTCAGTAAAAAAGACGATTATCAGTGAGCTTTAGGAGCAGAAAAAGATAGGAGTGAACATAAATAGAAAAAACCAGTTGCGGAAGAAAAATTGAATTGAACGCTTCTGTGATTGAAGAAACTACGTTGCCTCGTTCCCTCTATACATAAAATATAAGAAGGGCCTCTGATACTCTGGTAAAATCTTGGAGCGCTCTAGCATCGCTATCCTAGAACTTCAACGAGAATCAACTTATCCACTAAACAACACCAATCATGAGATCAAAAACCCTCAAATAGCAGCTGAACCTACGCACAAATTTCGTACATGTTTTCATGACATGCATTTTCGGAGACTAATTGAATGGAACAAATGGATCAAACAACGAAATGTGAGCATTTTCGTGTTGATTATTCCCCAACGTACGCACAAAGCTTTCGACTTCATCAAGCACCGTGAAATGTAGTTGAATGCATTTCTGCCCATGCGATAAATTCCGATGGCTTGCCAATACCACTGAATCACTACTGATAATCTAAGAAATAGATCTGCCACCAAATTGCCGATTCTGATGAATTGGATAGCCTGGTTAGCCCGGTGTGTTGGATAGAGTTAACGAGCAATTGTGCATCACAAATTAGTCCTACACACAACTCTACATACGTCAAGTGCTGGCATATACATAATAATGTGATGTTGCGTCACGCAAAACAAATTGTAGAAATGTTCAAATAAAAAGTACTCAAAAAGCAGATCCATCAACTTCAATAGGTGGTGCTGAGTCAAGAGACTTCTTATTCGATCTTGACAATGATTAAATAGAACAGAACAAAATTTAAAACAACGTATTAAATTTGTATTTAACAATAGGAGAAACTGCAAATATGTTACTGCGTGCATGGCATAAAACACATCTGTTACTAGTAAGCACTTAGCAAGAGGAAATTGATGTCAAAGGAGCTTTAGAGGTGTAAAGTGATTAATCATTAGTTAAAAAGTGTATTTGAAGAATAATCTGCGTGCTTATTGTCGCAAACATCGGAGCACCCACTAGCAAAGTCACGATGGTAACTTTCAAAGTATGTATAAAGAATTTCACTTGTCAAGCTAATTCTATTGATTTGGTCATAAACTTGGGGGACAGTATTTAGTCATGGAAGTCCAGAAAGCATTTAACCACGTAGTCTTTGATCGCATATTCAACAAAATGAACTTCTTCCGAGAATTTCGTTCGATCGTTTATTGAAGATCCCTGCCCGCGTCGATTTCCTGTATTTATATCATGCAGCATGTAGTAATTATGAAGACGCCGTGGCCGAGTGACTGTGATGTTGATTACAGCACTTCCCACTTCTCTCTCCGGCCGTCGACAACAACGTCCTGTGGAACGCCTCAGCAAGGCTATCCTCGAGATTGTAAGGAAACTCGCTCAGCCGGTATTCTATGCTGTTCAATAAGAAAACGAAAAACGATTTGAATGCTAAAAGCATCGAGATCCGCGTAATGAAAAAAACACTGTGTTGACGAATCAAATAAAGTGCTAATAAAAATAACAGTTATGTTAGGAAACCATCATATCTGAGAACTAGAGCGCTCCTTGCATTGATGGCGCACCGATTGGACATCTGTTAGTGTTTTATCAAAACTGTTGCAGTGTTTTAGACCCAAGAAAGGTTTTCCCATCAAGTATCGAGGAGAATTTTATCTTTGAATTCGGATGCAACTGATAGAATGATGCTCAAACACAATTAGGCACACTCAATGAACGAGTGGAGCATTTCTGACCTCATAAACGAAGTAGAATTAACTAGACGCTTTGCTTATCTCCGCTATCGTTCATTCACCTAATTAGTTTTGTAATTAACAATGAGACCTGACTTCACTGCTAGCTTCATGAGTGGGAACAACACTTGTTCATTTTCTAGGTCTTCTTAAAGGCTCCTTGAGAGGGCCAAATGAAAAGTAGAGGCTCAATTCACGACTGTTCATGTCCATACACTAGCAATTCCTTTGATTGAATGAACGGGGACGCATAGAGGCGCCTTGCCTTGGTTATTCTCAAGATCTCAAGGATGACCATCTTGACCAACATTTTACGATGTTCGTAAAGAAGTACTGTTAAGCAGCAGATAAAATAACAAATAAAGTGTTCGAAGACTCTCGTGAAAAATAAAAGCGAGGAAACGAATCAACTGCAGGAAGTTGTGAGATCTCTAGTTTTTTTCTGGTGGTGGATCATAAAACCAATGTAGATTAAGCAGTTGTAATAATGTCGCTCTGAAGTGCTGTTTGTGAGAGTCTCAAGCACGTTTCATGGAGATAGAACGTGTCAGGATGGAAGAGATGACCTGATGAATCAAGCACATTTCTCTTTTTCCTCTCTCACATCTTCTCGCTTTCCTCCCTTCTTTTTTCTTCCGACAATAGAAATATAATCCAAATTAACCCACATAACACTATTTCTTCGCGGATTGCATGTTTTTGTCTGGTCCGCTTCAATGTGTCTAATGTGTTACTAAGCACTGCTGAAAATGGAAAATTTAGTGACCTCAGACTTGTCGCTTGACCACACAGGACGGCAGGTATACGTCCATCGTGTTGAAATTTTACAGCAGCATCATAATATCACGTAAAAGTTCATCAGAATACCATGGTTGACAGCTGCTATTCAATTCACGTTGGAAGTTATTTGAAAGAAATAATTTTTTAGAATTAATAAAACATTAATTATTAGATGAAACTTTTCATTCAGCCGCTCATAACGGTGGCATGATGTCACAAATATATCTACTAATGTAATGTGAAGTGCAAAACTTCCGCGCCAGGCGAGGTTTGAACCCGCATTCCATCCAGTCTACGGACGCGTTCTCTATCCATTGTACCACCAACGCCTGTTTCGACACCAGTCTTTAAAGTTATAACGCATCTACCTTTCAACAACTAACCGTCGATGGTTTGACCCACGTAGTCGCTATCGACAAGATGATCAAATAGAATTCCTTTCAACCGCTACTATCAATCCTCTAATACACCATAATCCCAGCATAACTGGGTTCACTGTCGATAGCGACTACTTGGGCTAAAGCGTTGACGGCTGGCCGCTGACAGATAGATGCGTTGTAGCGTAGAAAGAGTGGTGTTAATGTAGGCGTCGGTGGTGCAAGGGATAGAGCACGCTCCCCTGAATTTAGTGAAATGCGGGTTCAAGTTCCGCCTGGCGCAAGTGTTTTGCAAATCACTCTACATCAGTGGGTAATCAGATATTCCTTGGTGATTAAACCTGCAGCAGAAGTAGCTAAATATAGATTCAACCGACTAAACCTTATCTATCACAAGACCGACTATCTGTCAATCTCGGCATAGTTTAGATAAATGAATATTCTCTTCTTTTTAGCCGATTCGAGGTGTTATTGATATTATTTTTTGAATATCAGCGAAGCATACAACAATACAGTCAGTAATGCAGCTTGAATATACAATATTCGAGGTGGCTAACGTTTCGGCGGGTCGCCTTCGTCAAAGCCTGGAAAGATCACAGTGATCCACAATCCACTAAGCCAAAACCTCCATAACCCTAGCAGAAAACGTTAGAACTGAGTTTTGGATTGCATAGCAAAAGCTTCATTTCAAAACACTCACCGTTTTGATGTTTGGGTTTATCAATTATTAATTGAAAACCAGCCGCTTAAGGTCAGTGCATCAGTGGGCTGTGCTCAACTCGGGCCGGAAAAATTAGCCTGAGGTATGGTTCGAGGTCACGCGTAAATACGAGGCACTCCTCTTTTCGGTTCATTTTGTAAAAATAGGTAAAGGGATAAAAATAGCGAGCTTGGCTGGTTTAAAGCCTCCCGTTATCTCTCAACTAAAGCATAATCCACCAACATGTCCCGTCTTATACTTACTCATCAAAACTCATAAGTTGGTCTGCACTGATGATCTTTTGTCTACTAATCCATCAAATTTCAAAGTTAGACCCATCTTCAGGTGCGTAGGCGGACCAACGGACAGGATAACGTGGTTTCTAAACCTAATACTAATCCAATTACTAAATCACATTCCAGCCCATCTCACAAACACACAAATGTTCCTAGACCATTTAGGTAGCGCGTCCCCCAACAACTCGTACGTAATGAATCTTTCGACGTAACCGCCTTTCACACAAACGTGTCGAATGAATGCGGAATGCAAGCCATGTACGAGTTTCTAACGGAGCACGAATGGACCACGAACAACTATGGCTTCTCCATCCGGCAGGTTATGGCTCTCTTAGATGAGTGCCTGAACTGTTCAATCTTTAGATGGTCCGGGAACTATTTTGCCCAAATCAGAGAGCTGGCAATGGGACAACGACTAGCGCCAACACTTGCTATAGCCTTTATGTCTAAAGTGGAGAGCCCAATAATCGATTTCCGGCCGTTACTCTACTGTAGTTATATAGGTGACTGCTTTGTCGTCTGCTCAACCCAAGAGGAGATGAACAAATGTTTTGAGTTGCTGAACAGTCAGTCAGAGTACATAAATTCAGCGTGAGAAACCGATAGAAAATTGGCTTCCATTTTTGAAAGATCAGGTCAACCTGTCCAAAAACTACTACAATAGAAAATGGTACCGAAAGCCAAGCAAAAGAAACATCGTAGTTCATTACCTATCAGCTCATCCTTCACACATAAAACGCGTGCTTCTAAAGAACATGTTCCAAACAGCTACAGATGTGTGCACAGGAAAAGAACACGAGGTAGAATCGTTAAGCTTGGCGCGAAAAATACCCATCTCCATTGGCTACGATACGGTAGGAGCTTCCCAGGTTAGATTTAGAGGAAATTCTACACCCCCAAATGACAAGTTAGACAAAAATAAAGTTTTGCCTTTTATCTCTAACGAAATAAGCACAGCTATTAAGCGCTGCCTAAAAAGCGCAGGTTGGGAGAATTTGGTAGCAATAGTTGAAATACCTCCAAAGACACTAAAGCGCCAATTAGTCCGCAACAGACTGTATGACCGCCTCTGCGAAACCAATGACTGCAAAGTTTGCCCAAACGGCAGAGAGGCGACTTCATGAGATCGAGTATAATTTACGGAATCTCTTGCGAGGCGTGCGGCGATGAGTACATTGGCGAAACGGGTAGACCACTAACTCCGTGTAAAAGAGCACCTAATTGGGTTACGCAACTTATCCAAAAAACTCCACTAGGCGCGTATAGGGGCCAAAAACATGCAGGAGTAATGTCCGGCTCAAATTTACGATCCTCGCACAGGAATGAGAAACATTTGCGCTTAGAACCTTGAAAGCCTTTTGGATACATAGCAAAGGCCCGGCAGTGAACCGTGAAGAGGAGTGCCTCGTATTTACGCGTGACCTCGAACCATACCTCAGGCTGATTTTTCCGGCCCGAGTTACGCACAGCCCACTGATGCACTGACCTTAAGCGGCTGGTCTTCAATTAATAAGTGACAGACCCAAACATCTAAACGGTGAGTGTTTTAGAATGAAGCTTTTACTGTGCGATCCAAAACTCATTTCTAACGTTTTCTGCTAGGGTTATGAAGGTTTGGCTCAGTGGATTGAGGATCAATGTGATCTTTCCAAGCCCTGACGAAGGCGACCCGCCGAGACATTAGCCACCTCGAATATTGTATATTCAAGCTGCATTACGACTGTATTGTTACATGCTTCGCTAACATTCAATAAATAATATCAATAACACCTCGAAACGGCTAAAAAGAAGAAAATATTCATTTAAACCTTGTCTAGTCTGGTCCAAATGTCCGATTTTTCACTAACAAAACAGCTTGTCGGATTACGAACAAAGAACCTCTAGAACGAGAAATTCACTTCTTGTTATTTTTTATGGCGGCAAGAAAATGTGATTGATGAAGAAATTCGAGTGGCAATCTTAGATGATTCGTTCCATCGCCTTTTTGGGAGTTATATCTATTCCGTTATAACGTTGCATACATTCGTTTGACTTTGTAGTTGGAGATGCCCATATCAGCTCTATAAGTGGTCTTCCCTGCTTGCGCATCTTCGACCATGCTGCTCTTCTCTCATTGAAATCTTCTTTTATAGCATTCCGAAGCCTTCTGTATGTTCCAACGTGCATTTTGGTTGCTTGTGGCTCGCACGATCACACGTTGGCCCATCAGCTCGAGTTTTTTCGGAGACAACCGTCTCTTAGTGTCTTTCAAACTCTCGACTTTCATAGAGCTAACGATAAGATGTTGAGTAAGCTGGTCGTAGTTTTTGTCAATATTACTAATGGCAACTCTTCTCAGGAGACGACTAATGATTTTGTGAAATAACAAGCATTCTCTCCTTTTTGCACAAAGGAGGCGATCTCTTGATTCTGTGTAGAATTTTGAAATAGAGCGACATCGATCAGGCAGAACCAATGATCTAATTTTATGTGATCTATTTTGCTATGCCGTTCTCTATCGGACTTTCTCACTTTCACTGCTCAGATTGAAGTTTATAAAATAATTCAAAAATCGACTTTTCTTGAACTTAAGCAAGACTAACCAATTATATAGTTCTTTTGGTCATACCAATAAAACAAACTTGATAAGACGTCATAATTCTTTCTATTTTGACTGCCACTTGCAGTGGTATGATGTTCATAGTATACCCAATATGTGGAGTACTGTGCAAAAAACGTTTGCGTCAGTCGGATTCATGCACTTTTCCTATTCGATTCGTTTCCCCGCATCTTTTTCCGCAATGGTTTTCAAACACTTTACATGATTTTAACCTCTATCTATTGCATAATTTATTCTTAACAGCAGATGCGATGTGGAGTCTAACCATAAGACTGCTATAATATGAGTAAAATTAGGTTGAAAGTAAAAGAATATGATGAAGTACGACTGAGAGAAAGGGGATAGCATCAGCACTGCAACAAGAAGGATGATTACAGAGAGGCCGGTAGAATTCGCAGCTTGAAAAGTATCTACAATGCGCGCTCTTTGCAAAAAACCTTTCTTTGCAAGACGTGACCATCCAAACAAGAAGTGCGAAACATGAAGATGAAGGCCCGAATGAGACGAGAAAGGTCTTCTCATTTCACGTTTTCGATGATACCGATGCAAAACTTCGTCAGAACATGACATCGTAGAAATGGCGACAGCATTGGTGTCTTGTCAAAATGACTGTGCCCATTACCATTGATTCATTCGAGTAACTAACGACCTGAGGAGGAAGATTACCTTTGAAGCATTTTGGAATCAATAGGGACTCCGACCACCTTTGTCATTCACGTACCGACATTGGGATTTGGCGAAAACGGAGTTTAAAAGCTTTCTACATGGGCTTGGAAAGGTTCCTAAAAGAAGATCGTGGGTTCTTCAAGATTAGCATTGCGGATAACAACGCGAAGGATCAGCCCAGGAAAATGTCTGATTAGTTTCATATTTGGAAACAAATGAGAAATGGGACGAGGATGCTGAAGACCGTCTGAGACTATGATGGCTAAAATCACTCAATCGTAACCATATCAAAAGTAAATTTTAATGCTTGAGTTAGCAGCACGGTGTTAGCAGAAATAAATTTATTGGCTAGCGTTCAAACGTCTTCGTCTTTTTCAGTGCCGATGATTCGAGTCGATGTCTACAATGGTTCGTCCTCAATGGTCTTCGTCATTGTTGTCCTTCAATTGAAAATTTTTGTTTGGAGGGGCACCGCTGGATTGAAGAGCCTCACTGAGTGATTCCCTTATGTGCAGGGCAATTGTTGACGAGGCCACTTACTTTTGATGTTTTCTTCTTCACTGAATATCCATTCTTCAGTGGTTGGTATCATCATTGCCTTAACGCAGAGCATATTGATGAAAACACAGCAGAATTGATTGTCCAATGAGAAACAAAGTAAAATTAGCGGAAAACCAGTATAATCAGCAATCGTCTGTATATAAAAGCGTCGCCGGAAGAAGTTCTTAATTTGAGCGGTGCCTATGAAAATGATTCAACTTAAGTGACAGCGAAGGCAAAGGCTACAACGAGAGTGAACGACTGTGAACACTTAATTAGAATCATCGGCTCTGAAGAAGACAAAGATGTCGAGTCAACCGATTGAATTGATTCTTATCAGGTTTACCAAATATGTGGAGTACTGTGCAAAAACGTTGCGTCAGCCGGGATTCGAGCCCACATCTCACTCTTTCCGGGAGCGTATGCTAACCGTCGCACTACCGACGCGTCGACCGCTGCTTAGGAAAGACATAGTGGCAGTT